ATCCCCCTCCCACTCTCTCCCTATTTATTTCAGAACCCCCTTCCCCTCCCCCTTTTCTGATGAAGGGTCTAGGCCCGAAACGTCAGCCTCTCTGCTCCTATGATGCTGCTTGGCCTGCCGTGTTCATCCAGCCCTGCACCTTGTTGTCTCGGATTCTCCAGCATCTGCAGTTCCTACTATCTCCTCTTCATGGATGTGCCTTCTTTCTTCCCTCCATTGTGCCTGGCCATGTAGCATTCAAATGTTAATTCCTTCCTGTGGACACTGTTTCTCAGCCAGGTCACATGAACATCCCTTTCAAATATTCTTAAAACCACTTACAGATTCCGTGGACATTTACCATTTTAAATAAATTAATCAATTGAAAAGTTATGGATCTTCCTTACTGGACTGCTTCTGGATCAAGGATTAGCACTGTTATGTAACATTACAGCTTGAAGCAGGTTTTGAAGGATTGATAATCCACATGGTTGTTAATAAGCAGTTTACCTATTCGCATTAAAAAGTTTTAACATACTATTTAATTTATCTTTTAATATTATTTACATTTAACTCCTAAAAGTGGAAAATAGTGGAAAGTATATTATCCCATTACCAAACCTGTGTCTCAAATTATCCTCACCCAATTTGAAATAACAACTTTGACACAGTTTCTTAATCTACCATTGTGTTCTGTGTGTAGTGGGCTGGGTCGCAAATTGAGAGCTGGCGTAAGACTTGGTTTTTAAAAAATATGCTTGAAACTTGTATATTAAGCTGTACAAAATAGATCACATCTGGATATACTTAAAAAAACTAAACAAAAAAGTGTAGTCCAAGATCGTATCTGCCTTCGTTCTTTCCAGAAATACATATGTTATGGGTGAAGTTTAACACCCGGAAATGGGTGAGTCGGGGTTGAGGTCAGATGGTAAACAGTGTGAAATCTGAGCCCTCCAACTCTCCCACTTACAACTTGAATGAAGATGGCACAAGGTGTGGCCTCTGAGTAAAGCTGTTTTGCCGGTTTTACTGTGGCTTATCGAATTTTCCAAATTTTGGAAAACTGGCAGCTTCAGGGGTTTAGGGAGAATGTCTTAGCAGCAAACATGGAGGCACTTCCACCAAGCAGCCCTTGTAATTCAGTGGTAATGTCCCTACCTCTCAGCCAGAAGACTTGCATTCAAGTATCACATGCTCCAGAGGTATGTATCTCAGAACAGGCTGCTTCACAAAGATCTCACCAAGCCCTCCAAACTCATTGCCCCATCAGACATTTTTCTTTACTATCTCCAAAGTCTGCAGGGTTATGATCCACCAATCTCTCTCTCTTTTACCAAAGATCCAGAATCAGACTTATTTGTTTCTGAAGACTCCTTCAGAACCATTCCCATTGAGCTGTAGGCCAGCGATTTTCCTGGGCTCCATGTAGTAAGTGAGCTCGAGCAGCAGGCCTGTAATGGAAATTGTGGATTGAGTCCAGAGTGAGCAGTTAGAAACCTGGTCAGTGTTCTTAAGGCAAAAATTCTGAGCCCTGTGCTTCTGAAGCAATCTGAATCTCGTCAATGTAGAACTGAACTTTGTGACTGCTTTGCCGACTCACCCACTTGTCATACACTTGCATCTCACTCCCTGGCCCTCTAAACCTTATCACCCTCTAAACACTCTCACCTTCACTCTCATTTGTTACCATGCCTCGTCTCGTTCACCCTCGGCCCCTCATTTTCATTCTAACCTAATCTCCTCTCTAACTTATTGCCCCCTCACCCATTATCCACTTTATGTAAATGCCAAATTATAACAGCTGGAAGCCATTGAACAGCCCATAACACTCCCAGATTAAACACCTCCTTCAATGCAGCTATGTAAAGACAGTTAAGTGCTAATAAAGTGATTAAATGGCTGAATTATAGCCAAAGAACCCACAAGACTACCCAATAAAATAAACAGACTTTAGAACTGCTATCTCAACAGATGTTTAGACTCAATACGTAAAAAGAAACTTGAAAAATATTGAATATTATTCATCGTTGTATTGTATGCTCAGTTTCAATAGTATGAAATGCACTTTACCTTTTATCCATTAGACAAACTTGTTTTATCTCATCTCAAGACTTTTCTAACAAAATTTTACAATATTTATCTTTTACATGACAGCTTACCAGTTGGCAAGATAAATAATCTGACAAACATGTTGTTTTCTGGGCAGTTGTATCTTCTAAATACAGCACTTTCATAATTTATCTTGATAAACAGATGCAACTCATGCTGCAGCATTTAATGAACAGCTATAATTAGCTTTAAAATTGTTATGGAAAGGGATAGGCCTTGTATAAAAGTTAAAATTGTTCATTAGAATAAGGCACATTGTGATGATATGAGATGGGAACTTTCAAGATTTGATTGCAGTAGTCTGTTCACAGGTAAAAGGTTGACTAGCAAGTGGGAGACTATCAAAAGTGAAATAATGAGAGTTCAGAGGTGTTACGTTCCAGTTAGAGCGAAGGATAAGGCTGATAAGAGTAGGGAACAAAGGATGAATTAAGATATTGAGGCTCTGATCAAGAATAAGAAGGAGTCATAAATTAGATATAGACAACTGGGATCAAGTGAATCTCTTGAAGAATACAACAAATGTAGGGAAATTCTTAAGAGGGAAATCAGGAGGGCAAAAAGGGATAAGAAATAGCCTTGGCAGATGAGATTAAGGATAATCCCAAGAGATTGTACAAGTGCATTAAGAGCAAAAGAGCTACTAGGGAGAGAATAGGTAGGTGCAGGTACAGTTACAGCATTTAAAGTTACATGAATAGGAAAGGTTTAGAGGGATGTAGGCCAAACTCAGGCAAGGTTCAGTTTGGGAAATTTGCTCGACAGGGATAATTTGCACCAAAGATTCTGTTTCTGAGCTGCATGGCTCTGAGCCAAAACTATTTTGAACTCTATCCACTTTCAATCCATGGTTCACACATCCACACAGCTTTTGTAAAACCCAACAACCCAATCGGGGCCATGAAAATTCAGTGCCAATAACCAGGTCACTCCTCGATCTTTACTCTTCTAGAAA